TTCTTAAGAGTTTAAAGGACTGTCTTATTATGAAGTATTCCACCTGGCACCGGGGCATGTGTGTGTCCCTGTGTGGACACAATCATGTCTGCACACATTTAAAAACACATGCAAGATATTCATCTTTAGTGAAACAGCTTTGCATTAATTTACTGCCTTCTTTTCTTCATCAAAAGGGAGTAAATGCCTGAGACAATAAAGAGTTAAGAAGAAATTATTTCCAGGCTTCGGTTCCTTTTTGGAAGCTGTAAAGGAGACTGGAAGGTGGTCAGGAAATGTCCAGTGCTGTACCATCTACATTTCACTGAAGGTGACCAAGTCTGGCAACCACAACTTTAACACTAAGGCCTGGGCAGACAAAGGCATCAGCTGGCAGGCTCTCAGTCTCCTGTAGATCTGCGTGAGGGTCTTTTAATATTACAGTCACTAGGGCATCTCAGCTTTAAAAATTCTTTTTTCCACAGCAATAAAAACTCATCCCACTAAGCTGTTTAGAGCCCCAGGAGGCACTGCAAGGGGACCACAAATAAAGACTTGGAGCCATTTCAGACTCACTGTTTATGTCCCTCCAAATTCATATGTTGACGTTTTGACCTCTAACAGGAGTATTAGAAGGTTTAGATGCCACGACAAGCCCCACTGAGAAAAGCAAGAGATTCCAGAGATTCTGGTCTTCAAGAGCACCCAAGGAAGGGGCCACGGAATCACACAACAAGATGGTGGCCACCCATGTGCCACGAGAAGAGGCCTCGGGATGAAACCATTCATGCGGGGCATCTTGGCCTTCCCAGTTTCTATAACTGTGAAGAATCAATTCCCACAATTTCCATTACTTAAGCACCCCCTTTGTGGCATTACGTGATGGCAACCCAAGCTGACTAAGGCAAGAATGTTCTGGTAATGTCTGTCACGACGCAGCCCTGCCAATCTCAGGATTGGAGTGAGATTTCTGTGGAGTGACAGACATGTTGATAAAGACAAGGAGTCTGAACAAATCAGGACTGTCTTCTAGAACACTCAAGAACTGTCCCAAACAAGGACAAGAGCCGGGAACACAGGAAATAGGACGATGCCTGAAGAATCAGGTGTGCCACAGAGGGCCTGTTCTTTTCTGGAGCGGACACCTCTGGCTTAGGTCCTTGTTCATTAGGATTGGTACAACTTTGCCAGTCAAGCATTGCGACGGTCTGGCAGGAACACAAGGCCCTCAAACCCCACCTTGGCTCCAGGACCCCATGATTTCACTGGGACCCCTGGCAGATGTGCAAGGAATCGTCTCTCTTCCCAGAAACAAGGACAAAGGAGTTTCCATTGCCCCAGTCATAGTGTGACTCGGAAGTTTAACCCCCTGACTGGACGGCAAGGTGTGTCTATGGCAAAGCCAAGCAGGCCTGTGCAGCCCAGCAATGCCCTGCTGGGCCTACGGCGGGGCAGGCAGGCAGCATCATGGAGCTTTTATAATGACTCCAAAAGTATTTTGGCAGCTCCAAGAAGCAACTTTGCTACACGCACTAACACCTGCGACGCTGATGTGCGGGCTGCGCCCCGTTTTGGGGGCTCTCAGAAACCCAGGGTCTAGGCGTGCACATGAGCACTGCTGCCCTGCAGAGGCCTACAGACTGCTGAAGGCTGAGGAGATCGAAGGGACTTGTCATCTTCAGTGTGAACGTGGGCAGAGGGGAGGACGGCCGACCTGCCTTTTAATTTGAACTGCTTAGGCCTCACGCGAGTCTCCTCCTTCCTGCTGGTAGAAAATTAAACCAGCAAGCCTGTTAATAACTGGTGAGTAAATGGTTCTTTCTCTGCATAGTGAGTTGGATGCACAAGGTTCGCATTAGACTGAATTCTCTCCCAACTGTAACCCTTAAATCCAATTGAAAGCTACACTTTTCCTGACAGCTGCTGGTTACACACACAAAACTCCCCGTCTTCCATTGCTCCCCCACGCCTCTGATGTGTGGGGACAGGGCCATGCTGCTAACCTGATGTTATTTTCAGAGGTGACATCAAAAAAACAAAAACAGCAGAGTAAATTATCCTTTCTTTCAAGACAGGATTTCACTATGCAGTTGAGACTGGTCTTCAGTTCATTTTGTAGCCCAGGCTGGCCTTGGACTCTCAGTGATCCTCCTGTCTCAGCCTCCCAAGTGCTGGGATTACAGGCACACACCACCATGCTGGGCCAGTAAATTAATCTTAAAGCTGAGTGTTTTCAATTCAAAGACTTAGGTTTAGTTCTTAGACTATGTCCTTCCTTCCCATTAGTGGGCATTAAAGGACATTTCGACTAAGAACACAATAACTCATTGCTGTGAGATGCTAAAATCCTTTTTTGTCAGGCATTCTAACTACTTTTAACTTAATGGTATGCTATTTAAGCTTTTCTTTATTTAGGTTTTCCCCTAAATGAAGTCTAATAAAAAACACCTCAATAAAAAGAATAAATCCATAAATATTTTAATACGCTTATTTACCTCATCCCTAATGGAGCTAATCAGTGGTAGACAATATATTTGTTCTGAAGAGAGTTAATTTCCCAGATTAAAATACACATACACACATAAAACTGACAGTATTTTGAGATATATGACGCTAATAAAGGTAACATTTATTGGGCCAGCCACTGGGCTGAGCACTTTATTGGACTACCTCAGTTAACCCTCATGGCAAACCTATAAAGTGGGTGCTATTCTTACCCCATTTTATAGGATTGGTTATAAATGAGGAGCCTCATTACTGTAATTTAATCTCCACCAGCCCAGAATTTGAGTTCAGTGTTTACTCGGGCTATAAAAAGGTTGAATAAGCAAATTAGAAATTAAAGAGGATGGGCATTGTAAAGCTATCAGAAGATCCTGTGTCTTAGGAGATACTCGGAACATCCTCGGAATGCTCTGGGAAGACCCTGCTGGACACCTTTAAAATTCAGACTCTTACTCATGACGAGTGGGTCTCCCCTCAGCATCCCTCCTGAGATTAGCCCAAATTAGTATCTAGTTTCTACAGACAATGCAGGATGGTGGGCATCGAATGCAGTCCTCAGTAGCTCTAGAGTTCTGTACCCCATTGTGTACCCTTGCCTCCCCATTTCCATGCAGAAGCCAGCCTGAGGGAGAACCGGCCCAGGAAACAGGAAGTGGAGGAGAGGCGGAAAGGAACTGGACAATTCAGGGTACCACTGAGCTGCTGGATCACCCTCTCCCTGCAGTCCACCTACCCCTGGACACCCTGGTTACCATGCTCATTAACCCCCAGTGCTCTCTGAGAGCCCTTAGGTTTGCTGTTCTGGTTTCATGCCTCAAGGCATCCCAAATGATAAGTGGCAAACAAGAGCCAGCTCGTCTGAAATGTACAGTCTGAAATCCTAACCCGGAAGGCGATGCGATTGGGAGTGGGGGCTTGAAGTGGTGATGAGGAAGCAAAGTTAGTATTCTTATAAAGAGGCCTGGGAGCCAGCCTGGCGGCGCATGCCTGTAATCCCAGCACTGAGGAAGCGGAGGCAGGAGGGTTACCAGGACTTCAAGGCCAGCTGGATTACACAGTGAAACCCTGTCTAAGAAAGAAAGAAAGAAAGAAAGAAAGAAAGAAAGAAAGAAAGAAAGAAAGAAAGAAAGAAAGAAAGAAAACAAAAAGAAGAGGCCTGAGTGAGACATCCTTGTCCCCTTCTGCCTCATGAAGACAGTTCAAGGTGATGGTCTGCACCCCAGAACCTGAGCTTGCGTGCTCAGTTGTCCCTGCCCCAGCACCATCCACACCCTTCCCGGCATTTCCCGATGCTTCTCAGCTGTCTGAATGTTTGGGGGGGGGACACAAAGGTCACTGGCTTTCAAAACACTTCACTGAACAATTGCGTGGGTGTGGGCAAGCCCCTGACCCCAGTCTAAGCATGGAAAGCAGGAGGGTTTGGGGTGTCTCCTCCAGCCACCAGGTTGTGTCCCTGACCTCCACCTGTGTGCAGCTCACGCATTCCAACGCGAAGGCGCTTTGCCCCACCTGTAACTGGTCCCCTCTTCCTTTTGGGATATGCATGGTGATCGGCACCTGTCACTGACAGTCAGGATATCAGTGCTGGGCTGGCTTCCCTCAGCCCTACCTACAGCAGAATCTAGAGCCCCTTCAGAGCCAGAGGCAGGGTGCACACTGGCCATCGCAGCACACTGGGAGACAGAGGCAGGAACATTGTTCCTTGGGCTACTTAGGCCCTGTCTCAAAAAAGAGTGGACCAGGGCATGTGCTGAGTCCCTACCCTTGCTGCCCCCCTCTGCCACTCAGAGTGTGGAACAGACCTGCTTCTTGCTTGGGCAGGGTTTACAACTAAAGAAAAAACTTAAAATCCCATTTCCAACTAAAGGTACTGACCCTCCTGCAGGCATATGTGTGGGTCCTGAGAGAGGAGTCCTGGCTGTGTGCCCATTTCCTAGAGAGGCAAACTGAGCCCACAACCTCTCACAGGACAAGAGGTGACAGACACACTAGGAAGCCCCAGGGCCAGTGGGAGCTCCTCATGCAGGGTTGGGGCCTAGTGAACTCTGTGGATTCTCAGTGCCTCCCTGCCTCGATTCTCCAGAGACCTAGCCATCTCGAATTCCTTCTCAACACACCGGGGCTCCATCCTCTGACAGCCTTTGTATTCCCTTTGATGTTGTTTTGAGACAAGGTCTCTCATGTAGCCCAGGCCAGCCTCAAACTCACGGCCATCCTCCTGCCTCTTTGTCTCCTGAGTGCCGGGATTACTGGTGGATACAGTGCCACCACCTCGGATTATGGATTCTTGACTATTTCCAACAGCTCTGCAGAGAGGGACAAGACAGGATGTCCTCTGCCCCATCCCGACGACACGGAACAGCTATGTGCCAATCCAGGGAAAGGTTTCTGGAAATCCAGGGTGTCCAGGCCTGGAATGGCCCTCTTTCTTTTCCTGGGCATTTCCCAAACCCCAAGCAAACGATGCTCGCCCCTTTGCCCCCCACCATTCTAGTGCCAGAACCCCGGGAAGCTACCTGTTGCAGGAGGCGAGAGTGATGCATTCAGGGCTGGGCTGCTCCAGGGCCTTCCTCCGTCCGCATCCTCCGGAGCCGGGGCCTGCGGGAGGGACCGAAAAATGCATGGTCAGGAGACTCGGTGACACAAGGGGACAGAACAATCGGGGAGGGCTGCCTGGGGAGGCCCAACTCCAGGCCACCCCGAGAAAATCCCGCATCTGAGCAGTCAGGGTTCCCTTCGTGCTCCTCACCAGCAAATGCTCTCGGCTTTTGCTTCAAGTTGTGTTCGGGGCTGCCACCCTTTCTCTGGGCCTCCACCACTTCCACTGGGGTCCAGGCTGGCAGTGCCCCATGTGTCACAGCAGTAACCTAATCTTAGCCTCTCCTACCCGAGTCTAGCTGAACTGGTCTCCCCAGTACTCTCTGCTGAAGCCTTAACCTCTAGCATCTCACAAGCACATAGATGGGGAGGGGTCACTGTGGATGCGATGACTTAGAATGAGGTCGTCCTGATACAGGGTGGGGACCCTAATCCCATAGGACTGGGGTCCTCATAAAACGAAAAACTGAGGACACAGAGAGACGTGTGCAAAGGACACCACAGGAAGACCGGCATCACCCTGTCACACGCCAAGGGACGTAGAAGTCTCGAAAGGGGCCTGTCACTAATCCTTCAGTCCTCGCAGGGAGAGGACCCAGCGACACCTGGACCTCCACGCTTCCGGCCACCTGTCCTGCAACCCCCAGCGGAGGCCCAGTTCCTGGGCTCCCTCTGGCTCCCCAGCTCCCAGCTGGCTGGAGCGCCAGCTGCTTGTGCGCAGTGCAGATCCCTGGGGAACGCAGACAGCTGTGCTGAGGACGCCGCACCTGTCCCCGGCTCCCCCGGGGCCTCTGCAGTCACCATGCTGGGCCACAGAACAAGCCTGGTGCCCAGGCAACAGAACTGGAAAGAGATTTCAGGATGCCTAAAGAACTAGGACAGGGAGCGGGGGGCACGGCCCCCCGGAAGCCGAGGGAGTTCACCTGCTCTTCGCCTGCAGGAAGTGAGGGCTCTGACAGCTTTACTTTTTAATTTTTATTTTTAGTGAGAATTGGTGCGTGTACATGACACACTGATATTCATTTTATGTCCCCTTTCCCTCCCGTCTCCTGACTCCCTTCCCACTTGAGAAAGATCTGTGTCCCTACTTCTTCCTGTTGCAGTGGTGCCTCAGGTCACAAACTTCATTCGTTCCCCATAAAGTCAACATGGAACCTAACCACTGACTTGATTCAGTTCTCGTCCTGTTTGGTTGGCGACCAGAATCTCAGGAAGAATTAAGGTCGTGAGCCACGGTACCACTGCCTGCTTTTATTTTGCGCTTTATTTATATTTGTGTCATGTAAGAAAAACCATGTAACATTTAAGCTTGTGCGCCTAATTTATTCCACTTAACATTATGGACTTGGGCTGCATCCATTTTCCCACACTGACTCGAGATTATCTTTCTTTATGACAGAGTAATGCTCCACCGTGTGTAAATACACCCACTTATTTGTGGACGGACATATAAACCACTTCCAAGACGTAGCAAAAGATGTGCTCAGAGCTGGGCTGCTGAGGAGGAGGAGGAGGAGCAGGAGGAGGAGGAGGAGCAGGAGGAGGAGGAGCAGGAGGAGGAGAAGGAGCAGGAAGAGGAGGAGCAGGAGCAGGAGGAGCAGGAGGAGGAGAAGCAGGAGGAGGAGGAGCAGGAGGAGGAGGAGCAGGAGGAGCAGGAGGAAGAGGAACAGGAGGAGGAGGAGGAGCAGGAGGAGGAAGAGGAGGAAGAGGAGGGGGAGGAGGAGGAGCAGGAGGAGGAGGATGAGGAGCAGGAGGAGGAGGAGCAGGAGGAGAAGGAGCAGGAGGAGGAGGAGCAGGAGGAGGAGGAGCAGGAGCAGGAGGAGCAGGAGGAGGAGGAGCAGGAAGAGGAGGAGGAGCAGGAGGAGGAGGAGCAGGAGAAGGAGGAACAGGAGAAGGAGGAGGAGCAGGAGGAGGAGGAGGAGCAGGAGGAAGAGGAGGGGGAGGAGGAGGAGGAGCAGGAGGAGGAGGAGCAGGAGGAGGAGGAGGAGCAGGAGGAGGAGGAGCAGGAGGAGGAGGATGAGGAGCAGGAGGAGGAGGAGGAGGAGCAGGAGGAGGAGGAGGAGCAGGAACAGCAGGAGGAGGAGGAGCAGGAGGAACAGAAGCAGGAGGAGGAGGAGCAGGAGGAGGAGGAGCAGGAGGAGCAGGAGCAGGAGGAGCAGGAGGAGGAGGAGCAGGAGGAGGAGGACCAGGAGGAGCAGGAGGAGGAGGAGCAGGAGGAGCAGGAGGAGGACAGCTGGACCGGGCGTTCCCGCATCGCACACCTGCAGATTCAGGGTCTCAGGGTCCTTGCTCAGCTCCTCTTTCACATGAGATCAAGGACAGCCAGTCTGACTTTTTCCTTCAGGGAAGGGCTCACCGTGAGTGGGAGGCCTTATGTTCACCCTAAGAGTCAGAACTGGCTCCAGAAGTGAGAAAAAGCCCCATTTCTGGGAGATCAGATTTGATCATCTTGGACCATCACCCAACCAGTCTGGAGTTCCCAGGGCCTCAGGGGAAGACGAGGGGAGATGCCAGCTGGGACAGAGAGCTGTACCCACATCGGGGGCCAGAGAGGCAGCGAGTCCTCATGACTGAGAGTCCAGGGTGAGCCCTGACCTTGGCCCCAGCAGCTGTTCAGCCTGGCACTGAACTCCTGACTTCTCTGGCTCTGGCTGATTCAAGGCCTAAATAAAACCAGAAGTGAGGGGAAAGGTCCGGCACAGCCTTGGCATTATACAAGGGCCCACTTTATGTCCCTTCCCTCCCTCCTTCCGGCCTCAGGACCTCCCAGCTCTCTTGGGCCTCACTAAGGGGGATGGGCCCAGAAGGGACACAGCATTTCCCATGAGACAGTTTGCAAAGAAGCAAAATAAATGTCGGCAAGGCAGGAGGATCACAAGTTTGAAGCCGGGGCTGGGGATTTAGCTCAGCGGCATAAGCACCTGCCTTGCAAGCAGGCAGTCGTGAGTTCGATCCCCGGTACCGATAAAAAGGAAAAAGACCAAAAAAAAAAAAAAAAGAATAATTAACAAGTTTGAAGCCAGCCTGGGCTACACAGTGAGACCCTGTCTTAAAAAAAACCCCTAAAAATCCCCTAGGAGCAGCAATGGAACAGACAGGCCAAGCCACGGCTGGTTCGAGGGGAGCCTGGACCTCAGGCCCTGCCCAACAGGAAGTCGGTGACAAACTTGGAAAACATCACTGCAGCAGGCCACACTCTGCCCTGTGTGTTCTCCAAGGCCACCATGTGTTACCCTTCCTGTTCTTCCTCGGGCACCAAGGGCAAGGGAGTCAACAGCCGCGGGGGCCAGAGTGACAAGGTGCACGGGGTCCCTTTCCAGCTGGGAGGCCTCAGATAGAAAGAGGAAGTGACCTACAGAGGTCCCCAGGGTCCTGCTTCCCTCTCTGCAGTGGTGGCCCAGTCCTTCTGCGCTCCATGGGGCAACGTCAGCCTAGCACTGTCTTCCCCTCTGACTGCGGCCCCCCACCCCCGCTAGCATCACTTGTGTAATTCACACGAGGCAGTACGTGGTTGGCTTATTTCTGAGAGCAGCCATCTAGGGACACCAATCTATGTCGGCTGTCCTCAACTTGAGAGGAAACTACAAGTCCTCTTCTGGGGCCACTATCTCCGTAGCACCTGGGGACTGAGATGGCGGATGGGTGTCAGAAGTGTTTGGTAATGAATAAACATCAAGCCAGGCATGGGGGTGGGGTGAGGGTGTGCAAGCCTGGAATCCCTCCCAGCACTCTGGGAGGCTGAGGCAGAACTGCAAATGTGATCTCAGCTGCGGTGACAGCGCCTTAGTAGGACCCTGTCTCAAAGTAAATAAACCAAAAGGGCTGGGGGTTCAGCTGAGTGCAAATGTCACAGGTTCAGTCCCCATGCCACCAAAATCACTAAGTAAATAAATAGCACCAATGCCATTTCTACTCCTCCTCCACCCCAGCAGGTCCTGTCCTGTCTCCTCCTTGCTTTGACCCCAACCCCAGCAAAGACAGGTCAAGTTCTGAGGTCCACGCCCCCAGCACTGCCTGCCCCCTCCCGCAGTGGCTTCCCCACTCCCTCTCCAAGCCATGTTCCTTTTTTAAGAAAATGACTCATTTAGGAAGAGATGAAAAACCAAAAACTTCAATGGTAGAGATAAAACACACCAAGCCTCTTTTAACTCCTCCCACTGCAGGCAGAGCTGAGATCCGATAAGCCTCCCCCAAGCCGGCCTGCTCATTGGAGCTTTCGCGATGCTTCTAGCAAAACACTTCCAGTAACGTTTGCACTCTTGAACATTTGAGTAGAAGACGGGGTGAGGGTGGAGGTGGGGGAAGGCAGGGAGGGGAGATGGCTCCAGGCCTACACGCAGTTTTGCAAAACCAGAGAAAGAGAAATTTAAGATTAAAGCCCAGGCCTTCAACTGGGTCAAAAATGATATGACGCCTTACTACATTCATGACTCTGATTTATTGATGCAGGATGTTGATATTAGGTCATGAGCCTGATGAAAATTATGGGATATTTCTCATTAAAAAAACACAAAACCATCTTGGTATGTGAACTGTTTATAATATTTGTACACAGTATTTACCAGGAACATGATTATATAATACAGGACACAGAATTGTTAGAGCAGCACCAAGCCTAAATAAAACCAGGCTAAAATAAGCCACCAGGATGATTCAAATCCAGGGATTCTCAACATTGGTCAAAAGAAAAAGAATTCCTAGGTTCCAGCCCCCAAAATTCTGATACATTTGATCTGGAGTGGGATCCTGGATTCAGGTTTTTTGTTGTTGTTTTTTAAATTTCCCAATGATTGGAATGTGCATTGAGGGTTGAGAACCACTGATCTACAGATGAGAAAAGTGAGATCTAAAAATTGAGGAAGCCGCTCATGGTGGCTCACGCCTGTAATCCCAGCACTCAGGAGGCTGAGGCAGGAGGATCGTTGTGAGTTCGAGACCAGCCTGGGCTACAAAGTGAGCTCAAGGCCAGCCTGAGCTGCATAGTGAGACCCGGTCTCAAA